AGGTCGATGTAGGGTCGATGTGAGGTCGATCTGAGGTCGATCTGAGGTCGATGTAGGGTCGATGTCAGGTCGATGTCAGGCAGGTTCAGGCAGCCATTTGTTCAGAAACAATAGTCATTTCATGGTATATGATTCCCRCAATTTATGATAATTACCCTCCTCGATTTACCAACACAGCATAATTAGATCGCCCACAATTTACCAACACAAAAAAACTCGCCCACAATTTTATGTTAATTTATACCACCTACTCGTTTTGACCACACCTCCCCTATCACTTTTGACTTTATTAGCATACCCACCTACTAGAATAATTTATACCACCTACTCGTTTTCACCACCCCTCCCCTATCACTTTTTCCTCATTTGCATACCCACCTACCACCTACCACCTTCCACCTACTGGACGGGGGTCGAAACATCCTTTGCTTACTACTAAGAGCAGGTATCATCATCTTGACCGTACTGATCACGTGAGCAGTCAAGGTTTTGTTCTCGATGCATTTGAGAAATTTGAGATCTCTACAGCCACCTTCACCTGTGAGGGGAATGTGTTTATCGAAAGAAAAGTTAAATTCTTTAGCGCCTCCCATTGTGTCTTTTAAACTTTTTCAATCAACTGAATGTGACAGGTGTGCATTACTGGAAAATAATAGTTGAGCGCAACAGGAACTGTTGAAACATTTCTTATTATGATAAATACTAGTAGTTTCTGATAGAAAGTGAGTGCTGCGAGTAAGCAAAAAAGGTCTATCACAGAATAGTCAACAGGGTGCATGAAAAGTTAAACTAATTAAACCCAAAAAATGGGGGGGGGGTTCGTCCGAGCCACGAGCATTGAAAAAGTGGAGAAACAAGTGAGTTTTCATTAAGAAATCAGTTACCGTTTGAAATGAGATAGTGAGTTTGATAAGATTTATATTTTTGTATATTTATTTTATTAGAAGTGATAATTCCAATAATCTGAAGCTAAGACTAAATGGGTACTCGATACAAAAGGAATTAACAGAGAACGATGATGTAGACCTATATCTTGTTGTTAAGATGTGCCAGTTTTCCTACGTACTATATAGACCACTTTCACAAGTGCATACCATCGATTTAATATGATTGGCAATATTAAGGAAACATTCAGCACTGTCATATTGAAGAACTATCAGAAATAAGTAACGGTGCAAAATTTTGAAGATATAGACTACCGAAGTTATGGAGGAATGAAAATACAAGGATTTGTATGAAATTCTTTACTTAGGCCTTGGTGGCCTCGTTTTGGTGCTTTTGTGCATCTTCCAACCCTTATAACCTCCAGAGGATTTAATATTTTTCTTTGAAACTTCCAGAGCGAGCTTATCTTTAGCTTTGATATCTGTCATCTGAGTGTTTTCTTTTGTCAACATTATGAATTTAACAATAATATGCTAATTAGTGTCGGCCATTGTGAAAGTCGTGTATTGACATAATCTACAGTGTATGATAGGTGTGGGTGTGTACTCGATCATCAGCCTTGCACAAGGGAGCAGACTATAACAAGGGGTTGTTCGAACCTTTTTCACATCTTCCTTGTGGTGTATTATGAATGGGTATGCAGAATAATCAAATCCTCAGTCCTACCCCTAGCAATAAATGATGGCGGGTCCTTCACATATTTTTACAGATTTGCTTTTATCTGTCTCAGTGCCTGAAGGGCACACCGAATGCACCTTTAAAAACATAACTGCAAAAGGAGCTAAATTTCATTGCTTATACTTGCAGTTTTAGATGACAGGAACGTGATTCATTTTCCCACTTTTTCACTCATATTTCCAGCCATATCACCTCCTCCCTCCCCCACCCCGCTCTTTCACTCTTTCTCGCCTAGTGCTGATAATGATTGCAATGGACCGTTCATGCTGTGCTGAAACCATCATGTCTTGCATGCGCGCCGATCAGTGGCAAGAAAGGAACAATATTCACAAATTTTAAACTAAAAATGTTATAAAAACAAATTGCACAAGTAAGTTATATAATAT